AAGCTTCACAACCAACACTGCTCTCCATGTTCCCTGGAACTGAACATTTCATCAGACAGTGGGAGTCAGGTTTCTCAGCTCTGAAGTGAGAAGTTGAGCCAAGCAGGGAAGGGAGCCAGGCCGATCCAAGCATCAGTACACATGACATGGAGACATCAGTGAGAACTCCTGTTGACACTCAGATGGTCGCCTCTAGGAATATTCATTAACATGTTTACATACATGGGTTACAGCGCACACATATGTTTCCATGTTCTGGCAGCTTGTAAGGCCTAGAACAATGACATCCCAGTCATGTCAGGACATTTAGTTTCAGACTGAGATTCCCAATGCTGTTTCCCAACAAAACGTACCATGAATTCTCAGAGAAATGTGATTCTATGACTGTGCTAAGAAATACACAAGATAAGCTTGGTGTGTCTTGCAGTGTAAGAAAGCAAGGAAATACAAAAAGCGCAAAGAGGATAAAATGGGGGTGGCATTTAGCCAAATTTCATGCCACCAGTACCTGGCTCCAGTTCCTGCTTCTAGCTTCTGATTCCAGTTTCCAATTAATGCTGATCCTGGGAAGTAGATAATGACTGACTTAATTGGATTCCTGCTACCAACGTGGGAGACCTGGATTATGTTTCTGACTCCCAGCTCCAGTACAACCCAGCCTCAGTCACTGTGGGCATTCAGGGAGTCAGCCAAACAGTGGGTGCTCTTTCTCTCTCTGCTAGTCTGTCTTTCTTAAGATAAACAATACACTGGTTAAGAAAAATATAAACGATCACCACACAAAGATGGGAGGATGCCCAAGGGGCAAAAGAGCCAAGTGAAAGAGCTCCAGTAACACAAAGTGGAACAATTTAAGCAAACAACTAAATAGTATTTAATCAAAGGATAAAATAACTTTCTGTGGGTCCATGCTGACATAAAGGAAGGGCTGTATAAATTAGCACAGGGAGACAAGAGACACGGGACACAGTCCTGTGCCCAACTGCTAACACTTTATGTAGTTCCACCACTCTTACAGAGGGCAGATCACACCTCACCCACCCACTCATCGGGATGTGCTGTGTCTCACTGGCTTCTTCCCAGAGAGCACTGTTAGAGAAAGGGTGGCAAGAATAACATTATAGGGTAGAAATCTGATCAACACTCCTTCAGCTGACATCGACCTAATCAAGGTCAACATCAATGTGAACTCTTGACACAAAATGATAGATAACCCATACAGATGCAAGCTGCTCACCATAGGAAACATGAGACCTCCTGCAAATATCCTCTCAAGTTTTCCATAGAACTTAAAAAACATATTTTTTTTCATGGCACAGTTCCATAAACTCAGGGATTTCTCTTGTTACCCTTCCCACCAATATGTAAAACTTTTCTTTAAAAAAAAATAAGAAAGTAACTTGGGGGTCCGAGGTTGTAGCTAGGGGATAAATCTGCTACCTCCCACAGCACCATCCCATATGGGTGTTGGTTCTTGTCCCACGTGTTCCATTTCTGATCCAATTCCATGCTAGTGTCCTGGGAACACTAACACAAGATGGCCCAACATTTTGGGACCTGTTTCCCTACCCACAGGGGAGACTGGGAAGAAGTTCCCAGTCCTAAGTTTTGGCCTGGTCCATTCCCTGGCACTGTTGTCAATTGGAAAATGAGCCAGTAGGTAGAAGATCTCCCCTTCTCTCTTGATTTCCAAACACATAAATAAATCTTTAAAACAAAATGACTCAAGAACAGGCATATTAAAATTGCAATTTCACTTAATTTGTACAGTGCCATTAAGCCAGTTTGCACTCACCTTCTTCCTGGGATGATCAGGTAGGAATTAAAGCCAGAGGGAAGCACAGCCTACTTCCCATAGCACCTTCTCCTGAGAAGGCATGGAATAACACCCTATAGAGAGGGACTCTGCGGTAGGTTGTGTGGCCTCTTAGAATTTGGAAGACCCTGTGACCCTGTAGCTTCATGTCAGGCATTTCCAGAATAGCACAGCCAACCTAGCCCTCTTTCTTCCTTTCTCCCTCTTTCCTTCTCTCCCACCGTCTCACTGAAAAGCTGAAATAAGCTGATATAAACAAAGACCCTGATTCATAGCCAACGCTCGTTTCTACTGTAAATGTAAACACTCCCACAGGAAGAACTGGGGACGGCCACTTCTTGTGAGCCTATGCCAGCTGGACAGTCCATGACAAGCCCTACTCCGCAGCTGGAAAGCCTATCTCTCTCTATGAAATTCCACAGTCATTCCTGCAACCGCGGTGTGCACTCACCACATGCGCCCATGAACGGCAGCTGTTCCTGCTCTCGAGTCTCTGCTCCCCTATAGAAGGCTGTCCTCAACCCGGGAGCCTCCCGCTCACAGCTCCACGGCGGTGAGCATGCACACTCGCCAGGCGTGCACAGATGCAGTTCTCTGCAACACAAACACCAAGGAACAAAATACAGACGTTCTTAAAAAAAAAAAAGCTAAACATAAAACCACCAACTATTCCAGCAATTCCATGTCTAGGTATGCACTCTGAAGAATCAAATGCAGGGTATCAAACAGCTGTTGGTACAACACTCATGCTCATGACACAGTGTTCACAATAGCTAAGAAGTGGAATCCACCCAATGGTGCACCGATAGAAAAATGGATCAAGAAAAGGTGGACAATGGACTACTACCCGGCCTGAAAAACCAGAAGGAAATATTACCATTTCTGACAGCATAGAAGGACATGAAAGGCATTATGTTAAGTGAGATGGATCTGAAAACGTTGAACTCAGTAGATAGCAGATAGACAGTGAGTGGAGGGAAAGGAACAGCAGAGGCACTGACTAAGAGGTGCCAACTTTCACTTTTGAGGAAGTCCAAGGGACTCATGCACACCACAGTGATTAGTGTTAATAATGAAAACATCCAAGATTTCAAATGCTATCATCATAAAAAAATAACAAGTATGTAAGCCCATGTGGGCATGCAAATCAGACATTCCACAACGTATCCAGAAAACATTGTGCTGCCCATCACAAAAACACACGGCTCTCGGTGTGCATTTAATAATGAATACATTTTAGAAAGATTTAAAGGAAGGGGAGAGAGAAGTGCAGTAACAGCTACCCTCTCCCCCTCCCCCGAGCGCTGTCAGAAGAACGCAATGAGACACTGTGAGAACCGGCCTCACTTCACAGCCCGGGCACATGGTAGGAATTTCATAAATATATTAGTTTTTCTCTCCTCCTCCGGCTTTTAACATTCTAGGAGGGGAGCCATATCATGATTCATTTAAAAATTGCCCTAAGTGTCAGGAGCACTGCCTTGTCACCAGTAATTGCTCAAAAATATTGTTAATAGACCCACTGGAAAAATGAGGGATTGTCAGCACGGGCGAGATGGAGGCTTCTGGGCAGGCAGGGACTGGCTGGGAAGAGACAAAGCAGGCCAGGGCCCCAAGCATTGGAGAAGTGTGTTCAGAGTCCTCCACCATCTCCTTTCACTCAAGCCTGCTGAACTCCACCAGCTGTATGCTATGCTTGTCAACTCCCCAATTCTACCAGCAGCTTGGACAGCAGGGGCTTGGGTCCCCAGTTGCCTTCTGTGCAGCCGTCATGACAGCAGCTCCACGGTAGCTGCAGGAGCTACTGACACTCCTACAGATGTATTCCATTGGGGCCCAGTTGGCACCAGAGGCTGGTAGCAGGAAAAAAAAAAAGGATGTGAAAGGTTGGGTTGAAGGAGTTCTGCACAGACATGGAGGGCATTCCACCACCATCAACTTCATCACACGTACAAGCTGAAAGCTTGAAATCTGTCTGGAGGTCTCACATCTGACTGCGGCTAGAGGGTAGGTGTTTACAAAATGTTTTCTACCATCTCTGCTCCTCATAGTTAACTAAAAAAAATCACGGATTCATAGAATGAGTTACTCCTCTTTTCAAAACCAACAAGCAAAGATGGATGTAACTCAAATCTAAAATGCCAGTGCCGAGGAACCGGGAGGGTCTGTTCTGAGCTGCTCCACTCCAGGGGGGAATGGCCCTCATGGGAACCCAAGAACTCCACGGCAGGTGTACCACTCACCCTGGGCTTCTGCGGGGAAGGAGGGCCCTTCTGAGGCTGGCTAGCATGGCCAGCAGGGTGGCTCTGCCCTTGGAGCAACCGCGGGAGAAGTGCCAGAACCCCAGAGTCACCACATTTGAAGGGTGTAACATACTTCGATGTATCGCTGCTTATCCGTAGTTTTTTTTTTTTCTTTTTCTTGGAGCTTTCCAATAAAGAACGGTATTGGATTGCTGAGTTGGGCAGAAGTCCTGTGCATTTCTTCTCCCATCGCCCGGCCTCTCAGGGGCCTGTGCAGGTGGACCTGTCTGTCCCTCTGCAGAGGTCCTGCCCTCTGCATCACTGCACATCCCAGATACGTTAACATAGAAATAAACTGGCCGCTGAGCTGCGTTCAAATGGATGGAAACGGGACGCCCAAGGGGAGGCGTCCCAGGCACAAAGAGCTCGTCCACTTCTGGCTTACTTTACATTTATATACCCAGCGTTCCTTTTCTATCTTAAAAAATAAAGAAAGAAAGAAATACAAAAACCCCCTCCATTTGGAAAGAGGGCAGGGAAGGCCGAGCTCCGGGGGTTTGCCGTCTTCGCGGCCGCTGAAAGAGCGCCAGAAGCCAAGCAAACAGAGCAGCAGTCAACTGGGGCGTTCAAAGAATTTCAAAGACGCGGCCAAATACAGCATAAATAAGTGTTTCCTTTTACGGCAACACCCGGCGCCCCCCACATTCAGGGCCGGGCCAGGCAGCACCCCGCGGCGGGACAAACACGCCCAACCGCGCCTGCGCCGCGCCGGCCCGCCCCTCCCCGCTGCGCCTGCGCGGCCGGTGGGCGGGGCCCCCGCGGGCGGGGCGGCGGCGGGGCGGCCCCGGGGGCGTGTCCGCGCCTGCGCAGCGCGGCCGCCGGCAGGAAGCCGGGCGCTCAGGGGGCGGGGCTGCGCCGGCGGCCGCGGCGCATTGTGCAGCAGGGCCGCGGACCGGCGCGGCTCCCGGGCATGGTGAGCAAGGCGCTGCTGCGCCTCGTGTCAGCCGTCAACCGCAGGAGGATGAAGCTGCTGCTGGCCGTCGCCCTGCTCGCCTACGTCGCCTGTGAGTGTGGCGGGCCCCGCGCGGTCCCATTCATTCCCGGGCGGGGAGAGGAGGGGAGGTCCCGCCGCCCCCGGGGTGCGCGCGCGCGCGGGGAGCCCGTCCGTCGGCCCCGTCCGCCCGCCTGGCGCGCTGGCCGGCCTTGGCCCCCGGGCGCGCTGACCCCCGGCGTCCTCTCCCGGCCGGCTGGGTCGCAGGGCCCGGGCGCGCTGCCCACCGGCGTCCCCGGCCGACCGCTGTCCACGTCGCCCCGGCAGCCGGCCGTTCCGGAGGGTGGCCGCGCCGTGGACACCCCTCGGAACACCCGCGGCCGCGCGCCGCTCGGCTGGATCAAAATACCGTTGGCGGAGTCCCCGCTTCGACTGCCGCTGGCTTGCTCCGCAGGAGAATTGCTCAGCCTGGCACCCTCGGGGCTGCCCAGCTTGCACTTCAGGTGTCCCCGGAGCCCGGGCGGGGCGCGCGCAGACGGGGCACTGGGCCACTTTGCAGGCACGTGCCGGACCCTCTGCTTCTTAAGGGATGCAGAAACCTGTCTTTTTTTTTTTTTTTTTAAGAGTATTTCTTCTAGAGGCATATATTTGAATCGCCGCTATTAGTTACTTTTCTGAAATCGGGCTAGAACTGTCTCCCAGTCCAACCTGCACAGCGGCTGATTGGGGTGAGCGTGGGGGGTTAGGGGGTGGATACTTCATATAATTGCAGAAGTAAGTGTGTGTGTGTGTGTGTGTGTGTGTGTGTGTGTGTGTGTGTCTAAGGACTGGGAGGGGGACTTCAGCTGAGCTCTAGTTAGACCAGTGTAAGGACAGGCATCCTGTGCGTGCTGCAGCCCTTCTGTCCAGGGAGGTGGAGCCGGCTGCTGCTGCTGCTTGCTCCTGCTGTTTGCCGGGGGAGGTTTCAAGCCTGGGATGGGCGTGAGATGTGAGCAGATTTACAAGGAGAAAGCGCTCAGCAGGAGTACCATTAGACGTGAAAGAGAAAGCTGAAAGATCACCCAAAGTTGAATGATTCTAAGAATGGCCGTGATAATACCATAGTTTGTGGTGTGTTGAAATCGGGTGCGCAGAGGCATGGTTAGTGGATTATCTTGATCCTGGGAATGGCTTATTTCCGATTTGGAGATGTGCAAGTGAAGGCCGAGAGCAGCTAGGAAGTCCCTGGATGGTGACTTGGATGGAAAGCCAAGATTGAAGCTCAGCGGGGCTTACGAGCTGGAGCTAGGATCCAGGTTCAGAAACAGCGGGTTCACTGTTGAATTGGGGGTGGAGACTTCCGTAGAATTAGTGACCAGGGAATCACAGGGCCAGTTTCTCACTAGCTGTTCATTCACAGAACTTACAGAGTCCTCAGGGTCCCCTGTTGTTGAAGTTTGTTGGCTCCAGGCTGGACCCTCAGTCTAGCAGGGAGGGTCTCAGATTTAACAGGGTGTCTGGGAAGTCCCTGAAGGTGATTGAGTGGGTCTACAGTGTGGCCCGAGAGTGTGGGTTTCTAGTAAGTTCTCCTGTGATGTTCTGGCTGTGATCTCCCAGAAGGGGAGGTGGGTGGGATTGGATCCGTTGCAAGTGGTGTGAATGTGTGCCAGGACCAAAGCCATGCACTTAGGGACCGGCTGTTTCCGCTTAGGGCTCAAAGCATGGGACCCCATATCACTGAATCTTTCTCATTCCACTGCTTAGAACTTTCCCGAAGTCTTTGTCCCCCACTGTGGCCCAGCATCTGCCTTCTGGTTATGCTAAGACTCTTGGGCACTATCCTCGAATTCTCTCCCGTGCGTATGCTTTTGGCAGCCGTGAGGTTCCCGGTCCTTCAGCACAGGGTTGTGTGTGTATGTGCTTCAGCCCTCGTAGCAGTCAGAGCAGTGTCACCAGCCAGCCACTGCTCACTCCAACCTGTGTGGTTTTTTTTTTTTTAAATATACATATGTTTATTATGATTATTATTATTTAGTATGCATTTAGTTTAAAAATGTGATCGTGTTTGTGGCATTTACAAAAACCCCTGCAGGGTTTGCTAGGGCATCACAAGCCCTGCCACACCACTCCCCTCCCCCAGAAGAAGTGCCTCACTTCTGGCTCGTTATTTTGATATTTATCTCTGTTCCGCTGAATCACAGCTTCCTGACTTTTCATTCGGAGCTGTTATGTACACAGTGACTCTGTTCTTTGGAGCAGGCTTGTTTATTCTCTTCCTCTCTCGAAGATGTGTGATTTTGAGAAGATCAACACTTAGTATTTATGTGCGTGACTGTGTAAACGCTGTTCACGGTGAACCCTGTTGTGCATTGTTATTGTTTGTTTTGTTTGCTTTGCTGTCTGTGACTGTAGCTCATCCAACTCCATATGCTTGGCCAGTTGTCCATGCCTTGCCCTGAGATGTTCCTGAGTGACAAGTTGTTACTCACGTGCACCTGCTGCAAGGACCCCAGAGCTCCCCCCAGCTCTGTGTGCCCAGGAGTGGACACTAGCTTTGGCCCTGCCTGTCTCCTGGAGCTGAGCCTTCCCCCTGCTCTGCGTGCCCAAGAGTGACCCCCAGCTCTGCCTGTCACCCGGAGCTGCTAGCCACAAGCGCTCCTGCGTCCTGACGGTGTGGTTGTCGCACTTCACTCCCAGGTTTAGGTCAGACTGGAGAAGCGTTGTATGTGATTTTTCTGTCACATTTGCTAGATCGATTCTAGAGAAAGGATTCCTTCAAAGTTTTAAGTGTTGTTCCAACCCTTCCGGCTTCTCATGTTGCTGAGGACTTTCAAGCCAGTCCTTTTCTTGCTGGAAAGTTGTTGGGTCTCCTCTATGCCCGCAGCAGTCATTGTTCCCTCTCTAGTCCCACTGTGACGCTCCTGGCATGGCTGCAATGGCCCTCCTCGTCCTTTGCCTGTTGGGTAGGTGCAGCCCTGCACTGTGGCCTGCCTGGTAGTCCCAGTGTGACGCTCCTGGCATGGCTGTGATGGCCCTCCTCACCCCTTGCCTGGTGGCTGTGTGCAGCCCTGCACTGTGGCATGCATGGGAATCAGTGTAAATACTGTCCTCTGCATCTGAACCTTATATTCAGCAGTGAATGTTAAGTTGCTGCTCTAGTTTTCTTCCCTTCTGGATTAATAACTTGCAGCCTTCAAGATGATGGTGCTAATGTCCCAGCCCTGCCTCCCACTTACCCAAAGCACTTGGAATAAACTTGGAGAATCAGTTTGTGAAGCGTAAGTGGGTTTCCGTTTTGCTGGCTGTTGCGGCTGAGTGGGACCGCCTGGCTGGTACAGCTCCAGGGCTCACAAAGCCTTGGTACAAGGCCTTGGCCTGCTTTTTCCAGTTGCTGGGGGTCCTGGAGCCCCAGACATCCAGGATCTGTTACTGTTCATTTCTGACAATTTCCAGTTGTTCTTGGTCATTTTGTAGTATTGCTTGGATAAGTACTTTATTTCATTATTTTTCTGATCTCTCAGTATTTTAAAGTGTAGCCTTACTTTTCAGAGTCTTCTTTGTATTTATACTCTGCTCATGATTTTATGTGTTTTTTCCCATCATTTTTCATTTCTAAGAGTTCTATTCTGAATTATTAAAAACCTAGAATATGGCTTCTATTTCATGCTTGTCCCACTGACTGCTTCATTCTCCAAATGCTGACGGTGACCCAGTCCAAGTCTCTCACGGACTCATGGATTCAGCTGCTGGGATAGGGACTTGAACTCAGGTCTTCTGAAATGACGTGCAGCAGTGCTAACCATGAAGCCAAATGCCAGCCTGGATTGGGTCCTCTCTCTCTTTAAAGATTGATTTATTTTTATCGGGAAGGTGGGTTTACCTTCCTGATAAAGGGGGAACAGAGGGTCTTCCATGTGCTATTTCACTCCACCAGGATCTCCCACGTGGTCTCAATGGCCAGAGCGTAGCTAATCTAAAGACAGGAGCCTCTTCCAGGTCTCATGTGGGTGCAGGGTCCCCAGGCTTCAGGCCATCCTCCTGTGTTTTTTTCAGGCCACAAACAGGGAGCTGGATCCCAAGTAGAACAGCTGGGACATGCAGTGGCACCCACATGGGATGCTGGCTCTTGCTGGCTGAAGATTGGCCAGTTGGCCCATCATGCTGCCGTGGTTATGTTCTTTAATGATGGTTTTGTGTATTCAGTTTTTTCCTCCTCCAGTTGCCTCTCCTTTACAGTTTGAGGCTAACTTCCAGTTGATTACGTGGGAGTGTTAATGAGTGGGGCACTGGAGAGCTGATGGCTAGTGTCCCTTGAGCTTGGCCTTGCTGTTCCTTGCTGGAAGCTTCTCTCTCGCCTTGCTGCCTTATTGGCTCTGTCGTGCGGGCTCACGGTGGCCCTGTCAGATGATAGACCCCTCTGTTTCTCCTGCTGGGTCCTGGAGCTGCGTGAGGAGAGAGATGCAGGCTAAGTGACAACCCCTATTGTTGCAGTTGGACTGGGCTGGTCCAGGTCACGGATGGACTCACTGGACTTCGTGGCAACAGAAAGTGGAGCCAGAAACTGTCCTGTTGCCCAGACATTTCTGGAAGTCAGACTTATGCCTTCACTTGTTGCAGATACACCAGTTCTTTTTATTCATTTATTTTTGTTAAGATCTATTTGTTCACTTGACAGAGGGGAGAGCAGTGTTGGGGGGGGTCTTCCATCTACTGGTTACTCCTCAGATGCCTGCAAGATCTGGAATAGGCTGCTGGAACCAAGTACTCCATCAGGATTTCCCATGAGAGTGGCGTGGGCCCACGTTCTTTTTTTCTGTTTTAATTTTAGGTAGTGTTTACAGCGTTGATCAGGGTGAGAAGGATTGAGGGTTAGGGAAAAGTGGGTTAGGGAAAAGTTCTGTTTCTTCTCGTTTCTGGCGGGGAGAAGGGAGATAAGGAGAAAAGCCATACCCAGCCTCCCAACCATCCCAGTACCCAAGGATGGGAAGCAGCCACCCAGTGTTAACCCTGGGTCCTGATGTGGAGCATGCTCGAGGGTTCTTCCCAGGTTCTTTCAGTAGTTCTGCAATGCTGTCACATTTACCAATCCAAAGA